GTCTGGAACCAACATTATATCTGGTGAGTGGTTAAAGAAAAACAACTGATATTTTGTGTATGGATATACTATGGTTTTACCTATCTTTTGGTGCCTTACGAAATTTTTTACCACTTATAGGAAACGCCCTGTGGAGGATGCAGTAAAAAGTTTTAATGGAAGCCTATGGTAAATGATACATGATTTTAAAGGCCATTTTTTTCTGAGTAAGGAGCCACAAGTTTCATCTCAAAAGGACCACCCTAGCGAAAATGGCGACTGTTTGAAATTTAAAAACCCAATTATAGGGAACGTCCTGTGGAGGATGCAGTAAAAAAAAACCAGTCGCCATTTTTGCTAGGGTGGTCCTTTTGAGATGAAACTTGTGGCTCCTTACTCAGAAAAAAATGACCTTTAAAATGATGTATCATTTACCATAGGCTTTTCATTAAAACTTTTTACTGCATCCTCCACAGGACGTTTCCTATAAGTGGGTTTTTAAATTTCAAACAGTCGTCATTTTCGCTAGGGTGGTCCTTTTGAGATGAAACTTGTGGCTCCTTACTCAGAAAAAAATGGCCTTTAAAATCATGTATCATTTACCATAGGCTTCCATTAAAACTTTTTACTGCATCCTCCACAGGGCGTTCCCTATAAGTGGTAAAAAATTTCATAAGGCACCAAAAGATAGGTAAAACCATAGTATATCCATACACAAAATATCAGTTGTTTTTCTTTAACCACTCACCAGATATAATGTTGGTTCCAGACATTTTCAACACCCTGTATGGTTGAAATGAACTGAGACATATTATCCAATATGGTAGTCTGTTTCTCGATCTGAACACCAAATGCACATCCTCAGGAATTTGTGATTTTATATTTGATATATATTAGATTTTTTATTTTAATTTTTTGTGACATTAATCTCAATTTTTCTTGCAAATCTTCAATTTCAATAGGTAAAGTTTGGTGTTGTATTTCAATTTCATTAGGTAAAGTTTGGTGTTGGATTTCAATTTCATTAGGTAAAGTTTGGCGTTGGATTTCAATTTCATTTGGTAAAGTTTGGTGTTGGATTTAAATTTTATTTGATGACGATTCTTCTGTTGTTTGTGAGGTTGCCAAAGTGTTCTTCGTTTCCAAAGTGCCATTTACGATTGATTTTTGGATATTCAAAGCTAGAATTGCATATTTTCTTAGGTTCCTAAAATTGGTTGGTATTTTCAAGGTGTTACGAAATTGTCCTCAGTAAAATGTTCCGAACAGACCCGTGCGTTTTTCACATTAATGCCAACCCGACCACACGAGCGTAGCCACTGTCGTTTTAGATAATCATTTTCTGGAAATCTATAATATTTTATTAGGGAGTCTTTAGTTTTTCGATAGTAATTTTTACAACCGGCAACTGCACAAAACGCCATTACACTATTTTGAAAACATTACATAAACAATAACAATCAAATCAAAACAAACACATACTGAAATGACAGTTACAATCAGGTGATCTTTTGTTTGCAATCCGAGTGACGTCAGAATATGACGGGAATAGCACACTTATGCTTTTTCCTTACACCATGAACCAAAACCTTATTATCTGTAATCAGATGTTTTATCTTTACTTTGAAATGATTGTTTTATAGAATATCTCGGGAGCAGAATCTGTACCTCTTAACTTCTGCTCTTCAAACTGTCAAATTTAAGTATTTACAGCTGACTTAAATTAATTGATATATTTACATTCTTTTCAAATGTAAACATGGACAATTTGGAAGCCAAGGGGGCGTAGCACAAGGGAAATATGAAAATTAAATGATATAATATTGCATTGTCGTCCATTTGTGAGCTAAGTTTCAAGTCTCTAGCTCATCGGGAAGTTAGTACAAAATTGATTGCAAAATTTGTACCGGACAAGCTCATGGGGCTTAGCTCAAGGGAAATATGGAACTTAAATGATATAATATGGCATTGTCTTCCATTTGTGAGCTATGTTTCAAGTCTCTAGCTCGTCGGGAAGTTAGAATAAAACTGATTTCAAAATTTGTACCCGACAAGAAAGCGAGCTAATAAACACGTGATATTAACGAATACATCTTTTAAATTATTTAAAAATAATCCTAATTAGAGTAATTACCACGTATACAAAACTGTGACTTTGAAATTATTTTTATCTTTTATTTATTTGTTTGAAACCTTTAAACACCTTTTAATATGTTTAATTAAATGTATATTTACTATATCTTTGTCACTTAATTATATTAATTGAATAATTAATTATATTAATTATTAATATAATTATTTTATATTAATTCAAAGCAGTTGGAAACTTTTGTCCGGTGCATCACGAAGGATTAGAGTTAAAAATATGTTTTTTAAATATAAAAATTTATACTTTTAAGACATTAAAGAATATACGTAATAAGAAAAGGTTTCATGTAATAAAATAAGAATTTTCAAATTTAAGATTTATTGAATGACTCACAGAACAAGATTGTGTTCCAATTTCATAGGAAACTCTGCGATTTTACTGAGTCCCGTGCATCTCGGCCACATATTTGGTGATTCCTGATAAATACACGATCAAATTAATTCAACTTCATATGATTAGAACCTACAGGTTAAAATATACTTCACCTACATGAAGAAAAATTCTTATTAGTGATATATTTTAGAAATAAATTAAAATACATCTTCCAACACCGTTCGATTTATATATACATATATTTTTAACTTTCTCTAGAAGTCCCCAATTTGGCCTGGAATTGCCAAATTGCCCCAAAGGTCTGGAGTGACTGATCACAATCAGACTTCTTGCATTTTAAAACGTTACAGTATAAACGCTGATACATCAAACAGATTTTAAAGACTTACTTCATAATATTTGTATGCATTTATTATCATCCCGCTAAAGATTGAGATTAGTACGACGAAAATTTAAATTAACGTTTGATTGACGATTGCGATGGCACAAATGTGTTTACTTAGTAGTAACATGAGTCTGATAACGACGGCGATAAATAATTCTACTTCACGCGAAGGTCGCCGAAGTTCTGATCGAGCAAAGTTTGGAATGAAACACTTCTGTCTTCCGAGACTTAAGTTGCTCTCATAAGGGGGACATCTCTGCTGATTAAAGTTTAAGGTCAAGTTCTGGAATACTGATTTTAAGATTAGTATTCCAAAGTTTTTCGATTATTTCTTCAGCATAAAGTCATCATCTTGCACATTTATCCACAAACATAGGTGATTCCGAACTAAATGGTGTACCATTGACTATTGTATACTGAAGGTGGTATATTTTTTTGAAGAAGATATTTGAGATGTTTTAACTAAATTAACCGCTTTTAACCCCCTTAATACTTTACATATCAAACATTCACTTGTTTATATTTTGGGAAAATTTCTATCAGTAAATTTATTGCAGTTTTTTTCATGGTGATTATCATAAACTATTTAAAATTTATTTTTAGTTTTAAAAATAGAGGGTTAATTTTATAGTTCCCACTGTCATGATCAATTTGCAGGAAACGCTTTATAGAAAACTTGAAATGGGTTATATAATTTAATTATAGTGTTATTAGCCATTGAAATAGGGAAACGAATGTGCGTATTTCAACCTAATTTAAAACAGTACTAAACATACAAACACAGTATAAATTATTTATTTGTACATTGGGATGCCATTAATAATTTATTTTGTGGATGCTTTAAAATGATCGTTGATTGGATTTTTTTTAGAATCTGAGGACTTGTTTAATAGCTACCAAATTTGAACTACTCTGTCCATAAAAAATAATGTGGAAAAATCCTGCAGCTAAATATTTTTAACCTGCCAAATAATATTATGTTTTAACCAAACAACATATCATTCAAATTCCAAATATAAAAATAAAATATCTTATTGGTTGATATAAAATATTAATATTGTATTGATTAGCATCAAGTATCGGAGTACTGTATTAATGATAGTTTCATAGATAATTTGATATTAGTAACAAAATAAAATAAATCCAACGACGAATAAAACAAATAACTGAAAGATATTACGATTTTACCCTTATGAGGTGTACGAGTAATAGATCTTGCTAATTATTAGTATTATAATTGTCACAGTATTGACTGAGACTATGATTTATTTTAAATACCCATTTTCCTTAAACTCATATATTATGTTTGCCAATACTGTAAGCTGCTCAGATTTGCTATCAATATGTCCACCAGACCATGATATATCTGGTATGCGAGATGTATGGAGAATGTGCATCACCAGGACGTATACTGTATAAATCACCAAACACCATCCTCGGTTGTGTAGTGCATCACCAGGACGTATACTGTATAAATCACCAAACACCATCCTCGGTTGGGTAGTATTCATTCCCTTCACATTGTAACCACACATTCATTCTCGGGATAAATGATTTTCTGTCGTATTATACCTAGTCCTAATATTTACTACTCTTATTTGCTTGGACGAATTTAGATTCAAACTTATATACTATAATATATATTTCTAATCTTTTTTGTTTCAATGTTGGTTCTGCAGTGAAGTGGGAATTTTGTTTTGGTCTTTAATAATTTTATTATGTACTTTTGTTTCTAAAACTTGCAAGAACCTATGATAAAAAATACTATGTAATATTATAAAGTTACAAATCTAATCTTTTGCAATTTTAAAATCGATAATTATATTCTTCATCGATAAGCTATTATTATTTTCGTATTTTGTAGTGACAGTATTTAGAAATAGTCAATGGTCAATGTTTCATGAACTTAGTAATCAAAGCAGGATACTAAGTTAACATTCTTATTTAAACTGTAGAGATCGCAGAAAATAGTGTGTCTTTGTACGTCTGTGATCACTGCTAAGTAATTAACTAAAGCTGAATAGAATATGTGTTTTTCTAAAAGCGTCAAAGGATTTGTTTGTGTCGGTTGTCATACCTTAGCAAGAGTTAAGCTACTAATGGATTATACACGATCTATTTGAAAGCTAATGAAGTTCTCGCCGTGTGTTGCAGGATGTACGGTCTACTGTTGGAGAACATGTCAGAGTTTATCAAGCAGGTGTACGGCGAGGACCGCTGGGAAGAGATACGTCGTCTCGCTCAGGTTGACTCCCCGAGCTTCAGCGTACACCAGGTCTACCCCGAGACACTCATACCGAAACTCGCTAAGAAGGCCATCCAGGTTAGGCTTCAACAAATTACTAATGGTCGTCCAGTGGTTGAAAACTTGACCAAAAACATGTAATGTACACGTATTGACTATTGGATACTGAAGTAGACATCTTATCTATATGGACCAGCTGTCGCCATTTTTTTTTTAAACCATGTAGTTGTGGGAGCCAGTCACCGAATGCGTGTCTTCTATTCTATTCTCTACCTTGCTATAGCTCATAATAAGTCAGTCCATAATAGTACAGGTAAAATAGGGTTTTATAAACAACAAAATTTGTACATTCATGAAATTTCACCTGTGAGTTACTAATAATATGAGAAATGAAGATCCGATGAGTCCCCAAAATTTTGGGCGTCCTAAGGCCCTCTATGGGGCCCTTTTTGTTCCGAAGGGCCCTTGTTCCTGAATAATTTTGTTTTTACGTTTATGGTCGAGTGAGGTATGGTTTTCGATGGTTTTAGTTATTTTGAATCAATTGGGACTAGTTTTAAGTGTATAAAACCACTCCATACAGGGTTTTTGGAAATATAAATAATTTTTACGATATTTTAAGATTTATTCATAAAGTAATAAAATTAGTTACCTCCATGCTCTATATATAAAAGGGGATTATTAAAAATAACTTTAAATCTTTACTATATAAGAGGGAAGGGTCACAAGGAGTAAGAGAAAATATTAAATACCCCCCGTCACAGCAAACCTGCAGACTAAGCGAATTTTCATTTGCCCGATTTTACATTAAATCTAAAATAGCATTGAATTTAATGAATACTTAGGTTTGCTGCTACAAGGAGGCTAATAAAGTGTGTTTATAGTAAATTACTAATAGCCTAGTATAAAACAAATAAATTTGACAAGTTTGATCAAAATATATCTATTAACAAACAAACAAAATCATTTTACACTATTCTACATAAGAATAACATCGGAATTTTAAATTTACAATTTTAGTATTTTTATCCGTAACTAATAACCATACAAAACACGTTAACATACTAAATAATTTGTTTTTAAGCTATTTAAAATGTTCTAGAGAAAAATTGGGAAACTGTGTTTTTAGGGTAAAGTAATTGAGAAAACTCAAAGTTTACCCCATAAACCTCGTTCCCATTGTTCAGGACAAAAATGCTTGTACCGACAATGCTGCTCTGATGTCTTAGTGCTGTCCTGGTCGTCATAACCATCAAAGACAACCGTACTTGTATTGATTGAAAATAATTTTCTATTTCAAAATTAGATTCTTTGTATCAATACCAATGAGTTGTTGAAAGCAATATGTCTACTAGTTAGCTTAACCTATATCGTACTAATATCGGTCTCCAGTATCGTCTTAGATAGATATTTTCTCATTGTCTATTAGATTCAACGAACTTTTTTTAAGATTTGATTATTTGTTTGAATTACTGTATTCTGTTTTGTTTATTTCAGCTTAACATAACCAATCAATAGTTTTATTAATACTTTTAAATTCAAACAGGGTGAAGCCCGCGGGTAACAGCTAGTATAAGTTTAACGTGAAAAAGTTTGTCTCAGGGAGAGATATATTTAGACAGTTATGTTTATGGCTTCAAAACAATATAGATGTTTGGAGTGCAGTGTCGGGAGATATCTTCATAAAGTTTTTCAATATCTGACGTGTGGTTATAAAATTAAAATAAGATACTTGAGCCACCTCTGTATATTTGCAGTATTTTAATTTGTATCTATTATTACTTATTTATTGTTAGCTTAACTAGTAAAATAGATAACTGATGATTTTATGACTTGCTCAAATAGATATATGTTAATTATATTTTCCACATTTTTATTAACAAAAGAACGTAAATAAATAAATGAATAATTGTAATTGTGTTATTGGAACTTAAATGTCATTCAAAATGTTTTAGCCTACAAGTTTTTAAATCAGAAAAACCACTATGTGTTGATTAAAGTTTGTGATTATAAATCATTCAAGGAATAAATTATCCATTTGACATGTTTTTTACCTTTTTTATCATCGACGAAACCCCTTGTAGAGCGACTTTTTTTATCTAAACGTCAAAGCAATCTTCAAAAGAATGAGATCTATTTCATTAGGCATTGTCCACATTTCTCGAATTATTGATTTTTTTTAGTTTCTTTACCACACATAAAACGGAGTTTGATTTTATAACAATACTATAAGAACCTATTGATTTTTGTGTGGTGGAGGGCTGTACTGCTGTGTGACGTCACGCTCCTGAAAAAAATTGAATTAGACTAAGATTAACAATGATTTTAAAATTTAATACCCACTATTTGTATTCTTAAATATTTAACTTAAATTAATGTTAGTGTTAAGTGACATCATTTTATAGATCATAATAGCTCATTAAAAGTGCTCATCAAAAATGCCTTTTGAACGTTTTGAAGATATTGATTACGTTTTTCAGCGAATACAAAATTCGAGGAATATGTCTCTTTAATAAGTTAAATGAAATGAGATTTTTTTTCCTCTAAGCACTGTACAAAATGCAATGTGCATCGTCAATAGATCTGTTTTAATTGGAAAATTCCTATATTTTGATCCTCATTCTAAATTACCTATCATCGATTAACAAAAAAGCTAACATTCAAGCAATGCATTAACTACTGTGGGGAGTATTAACATATAAACTGTAATAATAATAAAACCCCAGTACCAATGAATTGCATGTATAGACTACATGACAATTAGTCAATATACGTTGAAAAAACAACAAGAAAGAAAGAAAAAGGTGAACAGCAGATTGTAGTTTTAGATATGCCAAGTAAGACGTTTAAATTCCGGGTCTTTACTCTTATTTTTATAATCGTAAATATGTTAATTGGTTCTTAAAACTGAGTGTACGCTAAGTGTCTATATTTTGTTAACTATATTTGGTGTTAAAATATTGGTGTTATTTATCAGTTAGATCCACATGAAGAAGATTTGATCGTATCTAAAGAGATTGAAACACCCTTTCCGAATTATTGGTGTCAACGACGAGAAACAAGTATCCATTTTGATTATTATTGTCTAATCGGACCTTATTTATTCAACAAACATTAAATAAGATTCTTACGAAAGTTTGAGTGCCAATTTGGAAAAACATAATGCTCCTAAGCGCCGCATTGTTGCCGAGTGTTACACATTTTATAGCCTTTGTCAGAAACACTCTGAAACTATTGTGGAGTTTGTCCACACTATGCCGACCACATTACTCTACAAAACAAAAATTCTATTCACATCCTCTTTAAAGTAATTACAACAGGTATTTTAATTTAACAAAAGAAGGTAAATGTTTAAAATGATAATGCTGAGAGATAGGCTTAACTAAATGATTGATGATTTTCTGATATCTTCACCTCAGTCGATACAATTTTTAAGACCAGAGTCAATCAACTTACTTGCCTGTATGCCGTTGTGTTGCAGGTACTTGGAGTGACCGAGAGAGAGTTTTTTGACCAGATGGGAGTTCACTTCGTTGGGTTCGTGGGCCAGTATGGATACGACCGAGTACTCTCAGTGCTAGGCCGTCATATGCGAGACTTCCTCAACGGTAAATATATACAGTATTTTTGTAACTAAGTGCAATCTGTTACATATGTTATTAGGATTCACAGCTGATGTCCACAATCAAATGTTATTATGTTTGTTTCATTTAGGGGCGCTTTCCCCAAATCTAGTTTTTAACTCTGATCGCGGTTTAAACTCTAGTTAAACCACAGATTCACTTTCCCAAAAATAGTTTCTCCGTTTAAACTAGGTTTAAGTTAACCCTCCTGGGCGAGGCCGGTTAACTGCCGATCTATGGGTTAAACCAGTAGAGAATAATAATAACTTGATTTTGATTGGACTCTTGAAACTGCTGAAAAAAATATTTTTTATGAACTTTGATTTCAAATTCACACATAACCTAAAAAGTTCTGTTGTTTTGTTTTTTTTTTTTTTGTTCTGAAGGCGATAAATACGGAAAAGTTTTGTTTTTATTTCTAAAGTATTTATTGAAACTGAAACTCATAAACACATGACCTAAATATAGTACTGTTATTTCAAATAAATACGTAAAGGTTAGTTTTAGTTTATAAAGTATGAATGAAACTGGAACTGAAAGTATATATTGTCCTATTGAGGTCCTTTTTTATTCTATTTAGCTGTTTTATATAATATAGCCTAGTTTTTATCAACATTTTTAGACTGGGCCTATTCAATCAGTATTGTTTTTGTTAAAATAATACATAAACTAATTTGACCTTAACTACTAACCCTATTTCTGATACTCCCTCGCGCAATTATTATCATTAATAATGGAAGACTTAGAAATATTTAATGAGTGTGAAGAAGACGATTTTAATACAACCTTGCCCTAAACTAGAGGACCACCGAAAATAAGAGACCGAGTCGATCACTTAGAAAAATGGGACGAGTATGATTTTTTTCATAGGTTCAGAATGCATAAAAGGACGGCAAATTTAGTTTAGGAGTTGATTCAGGGTCAAATATCTTCAAAAACGTTCAAGAATCGTGAAGTGTAGCCTGCCCTTAGGCTTCTTACATTCCCTAGATTTTATGCCCCAGGCAACTTTCTCATAAATGTAGAGAGCTGAGTGGGCTACACTATTTTACAACAAGTAAGGTTGTTAAGCAAGTATCCTCAGCAATAGCTCGATTAAGCTCTGAAGCCATTCAGTTGCCAGTAGATCAAGAAGTATTAGGCAAAATAAAGAATGGATTTTATAAGAAAGCCCGGTTCCCAAATTGCATGGGAGCCTTAGATTGTACCGACATTAAAATCCAATCACCCGGAGGAGACAATGCTGAACTGTATAGAAATCGAAAGGGAATATTCTCTACGAATGTTCAAACCTTGTGTGACAGTGAACTAGGCTAATTATAAGGATCATTGTGACTCGATGGCCAGGATCTACTCATGACTAGCATATTTTCAAATCGTCCCGTATCAGGCATAATTTTGAGAAAGAAAGCTACTTTTAATTTATAGAGATAATTAATTTATTGATCTGAGACAGTGTTGCATGCACTAACTACTTGATAACACCATTAGACAATGTCAATACTCCTGAGGAATATCTCACCAAGAAGGCAGTCACCAGGACAAGAAATACCATTGAGAGGTGTTACGGAGTATGGAAACGTAGATTTACCATACTCTCGCTTGGAATTCGATTAAACCTGGACAGAATTGAGAGCGTAATTGTGGGAAATGCTGTCATACACAACATTTGTTGCAAAGAGAATTAGGATGTTCCTCCAGTCACCGAAGACGTTGACCAAGCGATCACAGATCTACTTAACTGTCGATGAAGAGTTTTTTTACAGGAACCGCGGTGTAGCTGAAAGAGAGAACACAGTGACAAGGAATAATCTTGTTTATGGATATTTTAGGTCACTTTTGGAAAGACCTTGAACCATTAAAAAGTAACTTGTAGCTAATTAAAGTAGTGGTTAATTTGTTGTATTAAACTAAACCAACAACTAACACAATGGCTCTGATAGAACTTAATTTAAGTTCTTAGATTTTTTAGTTAGAACTTAAATTGAGTGGCAGCCTATTTTGATATGTAAAATAATTATTTTGTATCTTTAGGCCTGCCAACAACCCACAAATGACCGCCTGTTTTTCTAATTGAAGTACCGAAAAGAACATTTATATTTTGTATCAAACCCTAAAATACAAGTAAGAAAGAAAAGATACATGTAAATAAGATTGTAAATAGTTAAAAAACAAATTAATTGTTTAACACAATGACAATGTTAAAACTAGTTCGTGGTTTAAAGTAGGCCTAGCTCTGAATGTGTGATTGACAGCAGTTTTTAACTGTGTTCTTCAACCGGAATATCAATTCCTTCCTTCGAAACTGTTGAGTTGAATCATCCTCATTCTTTGGCCTGAAAAAAAAACATAAAATGATAATAAACAAATAAAAATATATAATCAACAAGTAGTCTAGTCATATTTGAGAAATTACCTAAAATAAACTCTTTATAAATATGTATCCAGCCTCTAGTTGATACATATTATTGTGTGTTGTGTGTTGTTATTCCTGTTTTATTAAGTATTGAAAAAGGGGTAGATAATTATTTAATTTTTGTTCCTGAAGTTGGAACTAGGCACATATTTTCTTACATGGAGTGTGTTTTCGTATGAATCTTCAATATGATATTAAAATATAAATTAAAGAATGGTAAAAACTTCAAATTAACAATGCTTGTCAGTAATAGTTTTTAGTTTACTGTCATAATTTCTTAATAAGTACTAAAAAGGTACACTTTCCTCTAAAACTGTTTCGGATGTAATATTGAAATTTTACTGCGTTTTAGGTTAGCATGTATATAAAGTTTGCAAGTTTGAAGTTGAGAATGATAACAGTGACGAAGAAATTGTTAGTCTTCTAAGACCAAGGTTTGATTTGTTAATCATCTGTTTTAGTTCCTGATGTGTGTAGAAAAAAATTTCCTGACTATTAAAACATACGAAAAGGAACTAGGATTTGATGCCTGACGTGGGGCTACATTAAACATGTATTCGGTTGGAAATCGTCGATGCTCGTATTGTTAAACTTGGCAGTCAGTGAATGTAGTACATCATATAACGTGATCTGAATATGTGTGAGAAACAAATGTTAAAAAACATATATTAGACCTTTACTTTACAAGTATACAAATAAACTAATAATATAGGTACAGTAGCCTATGTTGTGTTATATATCTAGTGAACTGGATTTTAGCCATCTAATTAAAACCTGTATATATTATTATAGTTAATCTATTATCTTAAATAGTATACAGGGTGATTACAAATTAAAAAGATAGTTTGTATTTAATTAATATACAGTTTTTCTATGTCATTATTGTTATCACCCTGTATATTACAACCTTATAAAGGGACAATCAAAAAAAGTACGTATTTGATTAGCTTATAACATTTTCCTGCCAGTTTAAACTTCTCTCATTATTTTTATTTAACAAATCTGTGGAGAACCCTACCTCGGTAATATTTTCACACGGTTTGTCAAATTAACTTCTAATACTTTTTTTAAGCGTTTAGAGCGTGCATTTTTTTTTAATATTTTTTTTATAAAAAAAATGTAGTTCAACAAGACCTGTCCCATGTTGTGTACACGATTAAGCCATGTTTATCAACTCTTCATCAGTTTATGTTATACTATCTTCAGGTAACAGATATTTTTCAGTAGGGAAAACATCCCAATCCTATTTTTGAGCTATAGCCAAAATTTTCTAAAATGTACTTTTTCAATTAAGCTTCCAGTAGAATGTGTTGCTTTAATATACCGCTATTTTTATCTCCTCAACTAAAACCACGTTACATTTATAAACTAAAACAACCTAACTAAAATCTCAACCTAATTTAAACGACGTCATCTTTACCCCTTTATTACCAAATAAGCCAACAACAAAAACCTAGATTAATTGTTGAGTATACTGAAGCAAATTCAGATCAGTTTTCAAAACCAATGACACCATCATTGTCGAGTTGTAAGTACAGTACGTTATATCATGTGACCTGTTGAAACTAATCATCTGCTAACATGGACTGAGCGGCATTACGTCATTACCTGGAGGTGATATCACGGGGGGAGGGATGTTACGTGTTCGTTAAAATCCCATTTGTGGCCAATATTTGCTAGTTATATCCCACACCACACATCAAGCTTTGTTCAGCGGGGATATCATGTTTGACTTAATGTTTTTTTTCAACACACACAAAATATAAAATAGTTAGTGTTTTCTTCAGCAAGAATATTTCAATATATTTTTATAAACCTTGCTCACTTTAAGGACAAACGATACTTTTCTAGGAAGTAGAATCGTTGACTTCGGATACTGCAAGTAGACTGCATTGTAAAAAAGATGTATGTTATGAATGAACAATACTTAAAGAAAGGTATGAACATCTTTAAATAATCGATTTTCTTGATGATGGAACACTACGTGACAACATAACAAATTATAGTCTAAATAAACAACTGTGTAGGACAATTGCAGAAAACACATGGGCCTACTTAATATGCCGTTTTATCAAGAAATCAAGGAATAGCATTTTAAAGTACCACGGATCACAAACTTGTGCCTAAACGGATTGTTAATATTGTGTTGCGCATAGATCAAACACGACATGTATCACACCAAAACAAAATTATATCTAATACCCCCGTCGCAGCAAACCTGCATACTAAGCGAATTTCCATTTACCCGGCTTGATTTCTTTTAAAATATTCCCTATAAATTTTCAGATTTATTTCCTATTTAAATAACATTAATTTTAGTGAGTAGTTAGGTTTGCTGCTACGGGGAAGATGTTGAGGTGTGTTTTTTCAATTGAAATATTGATAGCTTAGTATGAAATAAACCAAATTGCCAAATTTGATTAAAATATATCCATAAACAAGCAAACTACAACAGTTTATTTATTCTCCATAAGAATAACATGGGAATTTTAAATTTACAATTTTTTTAATTTTCTCCGTAGTCAATGAACATTCAAAAACACTTCAATATACTAAATTATTTGTTTTT